TCTCCCCATCTCTCGCCATCTCTCCCCATCTCTCCCCATCTCTCCCCATCTCTCCCCATCTCTCCCCATCTCTCCCCACCCCTCCCCACCCCTGTCGCGCGCCTTCTAGGCACCTGGTCGTCGGCGGCGCGAAGCACGCTCAGCTCGCCGGTGCTCTGGAGCGGGTTGTGCTACCACATGTTCGCCATCATCATGTACCCAAGTCTCGCGCACCGCGCAATCTCGCGACTCCGCGACCACGTCAACGACCCAAATGCGAGTCTGAGAGCGAGCGGGCTGCAGAGCCAGCAAAGGCTTCCCAGGATCAGCAGCCGCCCCGAGTCGATGGTAACCCCCGCCGAGCTGGCAAAGGCGCCGACGCCGGATGCGTAAATGACAGCGGGGCTTCATTCGTACGATGTAATTAATAGCTCCGGGAGATTTTCGAGTCGCTTGTTCAACGCTACTGCCAGACTGGTACTCTGCGTACCTTGCCATGCCGACTGGGTGCATATGTGCATGCACATAAGTGTGATCGAGTCGTGAGACAACCGAAAGTGACCCACACGTAAAAGAAAAAAATCTACGCAAATATCAGTGTGTGTAAACATTTAATCGATACGTGTGTGATCTGTCAGTGGTTGCCAGGTCATGCAAAACGCTCGCACGGGCCCTGAGTGTGTCACCGAAACGCGTACACCGGCACATTGTCGGCCGATGCGCGGCTCGCCGCCCACCCGACGCGGTCCCTAGGTGCTATATAGCATAAGCACCGTCCGTGCAGGGCTCCTAGGCCATCACTGGGTCCACAGTGGACGGACACACAGCCTCAGCCGGCCCGGCGGGCTCCCGACCAGAGCCCGTCCGGAGGCCACAAACGGACACTCTACCGACATTTACACCCCTAGACAATCCACTTCGACTAGCATACGGTGTCGGCCCGACCGCCCTGCGGCCCCAGCTACCAGCTGGCGCCGCTCGGCCCGGCTGGAGGCGCCTGGGGCGCCCAAAATCGCGGAGCCGGCGACGTCCTCCGGCCAGCACGTCGCAACGAAAATTGCTTTCCTCCGTGAGCAAGTCAAGGAGGCAAAGCGAGTGTACCTGTACCATATTCGGACACAGGGCCAGCTGGCTGACCTCATGACGAAGCCACTGGCAGCAAGCATTTTCCACCCGTTGGCCAGCTTCATGATCGCCTAAAAGTTGGCCAAGTCAGCAACGCGACCGCTCATGACAAGCCCTACCAAGGGGCGAGCTGTCGTTGTGCAACCCCACCACGTCAGCCATCTTCCGTGCAGGCGTTGAGGGGGTGATCTGCGCGATCGCGTATTATGATCGGTGTGAAAACAGCATAGTAGGTGTGAATATAGTAAGTAGTACATGCCCCTGTGAGCTCAGGCAGTCCTCTAGTGTGCCTGGACTTGGCCTGAGCAAATAGTAGCGTTTGGGGCGTGAATTTAGCCGAAGTGGACCTTGCCCAGCAAGGTCCACCAGAGGCCATGTGTCGGGGCAACCAACTCGACTTAGCCACGGACTTTTGGCTCACACCCAGGTCGTTGTACTTCAAGGCTAAGTAAGAGTGAGTAGGACGAAAGAGTTTTCCCAGCGCGAGGCCATGTTCCCACGCGCTGCTCTCGGCGATTCCGGACTCCCCCTTCCACACCGGCGAGTGTGCTTCGCAAGGAGGGTCCGGGGCTCACAGCATCAGGGAGCCCGGAGCCGTGTCCGATAACACTACCTCTCGCAGCCGACCACACCCACAAAGAACCCTGCACAAACCAGGGCTGGTGGATTAACGTTAACACGGTGTTGACACGTTAACGGTTAACACCACAGCCGTAGAGGTGTTAAAACGTGTTAACACCGCCCCTCGGGAGGTGTTGACCCGCCGTCTAGCATATTCACTTCACACCCGCAGCTGCGATTGCGAACATGTCCCATGGGCGTCCCCAGCCATGCCAATGCGCCTATTCATTATTATCCCTCGTGCTCGACGCCCTCCTCTAAGTCGGCAATCGCTGCATCCACATCCTCCTCTTCCGCCTTTCGGTACTTCTTGAGCGCATTCTTCAGCGGCGTCTTGCCACAGTTCTCGTACAGCTCCTCGAGCTCCACCCAGCGCGTGTCGATGAATCCAGCGTCATTGCTGTCCTCTTTGAAAGTGCCTCGCGTGAGGTAGCACACGGCCTTGTCGGCAGCAGCCAGCCTGTTGCGCCGCTTCTTTGCGATGAGTTGCTCGGGCTCGCAGAAGCGCATGCCGAGCACCGCATCAATCTTGAAGCAGAATGTCGGCACGACCGCATCGTCCGCACCGCCACCTGCCAGCCGCGCCTGCCGCTGCGCCGCAGCCGCTTTCTGGCACTTGTAGCGGCAGCACATGGTGCGGTGCGCGTACTTGAGCAGACGGTGCGCGCTGCAGTTGGCGCAGTGGCCCTGGGAGTAGGGCGCGCGCGGCATTGACGCGGACCCAGGTATTTCTCGGGTATACCCGGTTTTTTGCAGGTATACCCGGGTTTTACCCGGAGCGTGTGTCAACACCGTGTTAACGGCTGTGTTAACGCTTGTTTTGGGACTGCCGTTCAACTGTGTTAACACCGACCTCTGCGCCAAGTGTTGGCACGATCTGTAGTCAGAGCTGCTCCTGAGGTGTGTTAATGTTAATCCACCAGCCCTGGCACCAACATCGCAAGGGCGGGGACCTGTTCCTTTTTACCCACCTCACAGTAGAGAGGTGTCCGTTTTTATTTATTTAGGGCTGGACCTAGTCTTTGCCTGGGCTTTCTCCTCCTCCGCCAGCAGCGCCTCGGCATGCCGCGCCGCAGCGATGTACCATGCTGTTTCGCTCAGCGTCTCGCCGGCGAGCAGCCGCTCGTAGCACGCCGCCGCGAGCTCGCACTCGCCCAGCTTGAGGCGCATGTTGACATGCGAGAGGATCGTCGTCGGACGCGGGTCGAACCCGCTCGCCTGCGCGAAGAGCGAGGCCGCCTCGGCGGTGTCACCGGCCGTGTTGGCCGCGAAGGCCTGCTTGGCCAGCCGGTCGCGACGGGTCGTGCATCTCCGCTCGCTGCGCCGCCGAGTTGCCCGCCGCACTGTCGAGCGCCGCGCTGTCCCTCGGCTGCGCGCGCGCGACGCGGCCCGCCGCCGCCGCTTCCGCCAGCTGCACTCTCTCCCCAAAGCTGGCGGCGCAGAGGCGTTGCGTTGCGCGAACGTGGAGAGTGAGTTGAAGGCGGACGTGCCCGGCCGGGCCCACACTAAGTGCGGCTCGAACTCTGGGCGGCGTCACTGCGATCGCCCCCCGGGTCTCGGAAACAATGGAGGCGTTGGTCTCTGCGTCTCCTCCGCCCTCGTCGTCCGCGACCAGCCCCCGCGCGAACTCGTCTGCCCGCTTCTGCATCTCCGCCTCCACCTTCCGGGGGCGGGCGGGCGGGGGGGGGGGGGGGGGGGCCAACCGTGGTTTTTTTGGTGGGTGGCGGTGTGCCGGGCGTGGGTCCCCCCCCCGGGGGTCGGGGTCAAATTTAAGGGTGCTCCCAACTCGGGCACTATTTTTTTTTGGGGGGCCCGGGACCCCCCCCTGGCCCCTTTGGCTCCGGAAAACCCCCCCTCGAGTTTTTTGATTTCGCGCTCTGAAAAGCGCCCTGACTTGCCTTCGTCCTCCATGCGGCGGAAGGACATCGTCCCTCCCCCGTAGCCAACATACGCCTACAGCGTGAGTGTACATCGCAGCCAGGGCGTGAGTGCGAGATTCGGAGCTTCACGCGAAGACGAGGGCTACGAACGAATACCGCCGAATGCGTGTCCTCCCTCGAGTGCCAGTATGCAAACAGTCTGTCTTCCGCTTCTGGGGGCGCGCCATCGCCCCCACAAAGGAGCTCACAGCGACGAGGAGGAGGGGAACCACCAAGTTCACACCCTCTGGCGCGGGCGCCGCCGGAGGAGGGGGCGGCGCCGGGGGCTTTGGGGGCGGCGGCGGCGGGTTCGTCGGCGAAGGCGATGACGGCAATGGCGGCGACGGTGGCGATGGCGGTGGCGATGGCGGTGGCAGAGGCGGCGGCGGCGACGAGGGCGGCGGAGGCGGCGGAGGCGGGGGCGGGGGCGGACGCGGCGGGGGCGGGAACGGACGCGGCGGCGGTGGCGGCTTCTTGGGCGGTGAGGGCGGCGGCGATGGCGGATCGGGCGGCGGCGCCGGCGGATACGGCGGGTGCGGCGGATAGGGAAACCTCTTCTCCCACACACACACCGCCTTTCTGCGGCACGTTTCGGGCAGGTCGTTTGGGAGGGGGCAGTCAAAGTGGTTGCCATCCGTGCCCGGCGCCTGCACAGTAAGGGGGGCGGCTGCGCGCGTCTCGCGGGGCGGGGCGAGTGGCTGTCGGGAGGAATTGGAGTTGCCCCGCCCCACGAGACGAGTTGCCCACTCCTGGCTGCTGCTTCCTCTCCGCTATCGGCACCCAGTGCGGCCACAGCACCTTCGGCCGCCCGTCGTACAGCCTGCCGCGGTCCCAAGGGTCGAGCGGGTTGTCGCCCTCGGGCCCCTTGTTCCAGCCGCCCCATTTCGCGAGCAGGCCGGGGAAGCCGCCCGCCTCGCCCCGCACACCCCACTTCGAGAGCGGAGGCGCGGGGGCCCAGCCGGCGTGGGGTGGTGAGGGCGGCGGCGGCGAGGGAGGAGGCGGCGAGGGAGGCGGGCTCGGCGGCGGCGGTGAGGGAGGCGGTGGCGACGGAGGTGGCGGTGAGGGCGGGGGCGGCGACGGCGGCGGCGACGGCGGCGGTGGCGAGGGAGGCGGCGGGCTCGGTGGTGGGGGTGAGGGCGGTGGGGGGCTTGGGGGAGGCGGCGACGGCGGCGGGGAGGGCGGCGGCGGCGACGGAGGCGGCGGCGAGGGCGGGGGTGGGCTTGGCGGTGGCGGTGACGGCGGTGGCGATGGCGGCGGCGGCGAGGGCGGCGGCGTGGGAGCCTTGCCTGGCGGCGAGGGCGGTGGTGAGGGCGGCGGCGGCGAGGGAGGAGGCGGCGAGGGAGGCGGGCTCGGCGGCGGCGGTTGCACGCCCTGGAGCAGCTTGCGCCGCTCGCCGCCGCCCTGCTGCTGCTCCTCCCCCTTGGAGGCGGCGTTTAGAGGCGCAGCGCCGCCCCTTGCCTTGCCTCGCCTTGCCTCGCCGAGCCGACGCCCCTTGCCGGGCGGGTGCGGGGCCGGCGGCGGGTCTGCATCGACCAAGTCACACTCCCTACCACGACAGAGAGCACCGAGCGTGGAGGAAGAGGGGGCACCGCCCGACCGCCGGGGCCGCGGGGACGGAGGGCAGTGTGGCGCGCGCGCCTGCTGACGTGCAGGCCGCGCGGGATGGTGCCGGAGAGGAGGCTGTCGGCGACCTTGAGCGTCTGAGAGGCGGCGAGCAGACGAGAGGTGAGGGGCCGGCGCCGTGGCCGCCTCTGCGTCGGTGTCTCTCCTCGCGGGGCGCGCGCCTTGAGCTTGCTCAGAAGGGCGAGGGAGGCCGGCAGGGTGCCCGAGATGACGTTCTTTTCGGTGTTGATCTCCTGTGCGGCAAAGCGGCAGCAAGAGCCTCCCCGGGTGAGAAGCGCTGCCTCTCCGCTACTGATCTAGGGCCGGCGCCTCCAGCTTTGTTGCCATCCCTATCTCGGGCGGGATGGTGCCCGAGAAGCCCTTGCAGTTCTCCCTCTTCCAATCTTTGCTCTTCTTGCCGCAGTTGTAGCTCTCTTCGAGGTCGATCTCCTGTGAGATAGGGAAGGGATGGCGAAGGGTCGTTGTGGCGGCCGCGCGTGGGTTGCTGGAGGGTGCGGCGCGGCGCGGCAGCGCGACTCTCCTCAAGCTTCGTCGCCATCCCGATCGTGGGTGGGATGGTGCCCGAGAGGCCCGCCTTCTTTGCGGAGACCTAAGGGCGCGGTGGCGAGGGTGGAGGTGGCGAGGGTGGAGGTGGCGAGGGTGATGGCGGCGGAGGCGAGGAGGTGAGGGCGGTGGAGATGGCGGTGGAGATGGCGGCGGCGGCGAGGGTGGCAACGACCTTCTCGAGTGTGCCGGAGAGGAAGAGGGAGGGAGGGAGGGTGCCCGTGATGAAGGTCCGCTTGATCCTGAGCTGCGCGCAAAGGGAGAGGCGGGCGCTCGCTGTGAGCGTCACTTTGAGGCTCGTCAGCTGGCACCGTCCCACCGCTCATAGGGCGGAGCAATGTCGCTTGGGCGGCGGGGAACACGGTCAGGGGGGAGAGGCGCCTTTTCGATCTCGGAGCTCGCAGAGAAGAGGGCGTCCGGTAGCGTCCCCGAGAGGTCTGTCCTCTCGACGTTGATCTCCTCGAGGCTCGTGAGGAGACCAAGCTGCGGCGGGATGGTGCCCATCAGGCCCGCTATGCTCCGCCACGCGATCGTGCGAATTTCCTCCTTTTCCTTGTGACAGGTGACAAACGCCTTCTCGCAGCACGGAATATTGGCGTCGAGCCACGACCGCCCCGCCGCGTTTTTCCAGCTTTGCCCGCCCATGGCATCGTAGCAAGCTCTCAGCGGCCGATCGCAGGAGGCGGCCGGCTGGCTGCCTGCCAGCATCGCGAGAGCAAGCATGGCTAGACCTGTGGCGTGCCCGAATCGGGATTCTCTCGACTGTGTAGTGCCAGTGCGAGCCAGTCCCGACACTAGGGGGTTGTACCAGAGGGGGGGGGTCTGAGGCAAGGGGGCCCAGATCTGCTCGTCTCAGAGGGTACCCTCTGTGCCAAGAGAGGCCATCCACGAGCGGCTCAGAGGGTGCCTGGGCCGACCCTCTGAAGGCCTGTGCCGCCAAGCCAGCCTCTCTCGGCGCAGCCTCTGAGGCTACGGGGACCCTCTGAGACGCCAAGGCAAGCCCCGCGAGGCCGCTCCTCAGAGGGAGTTTTCAGCGGTATTTCAAGTCTGTCGTGATCCCCCACCAAGCAGAGAGAACCCCCCCCAGCCAAGCAGAGAGAACCCCCCCCAAGCAGGCCCAGCTTCCATTGGTTTCGGATACCTCAAGTTCGAGTTCACTAGGACGCCGCGGCGCCTCATGGCCAAGCTGGAGCAGGGGACGGATGTGGAGATCACTACCTCCTCCTCGGGCGGCCGCTCCAAGCACATCCTCACTCAAGTTGACGGGTCGGCGGCGCCGCTGCGCGCTGGCCGCGCGAAGCTGTCGCGCAGGGGTCGGCGCGGGCGCTGTGGGCGAGCCTGCAGCAGCAGCAAGCGTAGAGTAGCGCCTTAGTCATGCTCGCTGCTTCCGCCCCCTCCCCGCCCTCCCTGGTCAGCGCCGTTCGTGGAGGGCTAGGCGCTCCGGCCTCCGCCCGGGGCTCTCGCGACTCGCCTCTGTCTGCCGAGAGGGGGCTACCCTCTGAGGTCAACGCCCTCTGTGCCGCGCCAAGACAGACCCTCGGCCGGGGACCCTCTGAGGCCAAAATCAGCCAAGAGAGGCCACAGAGGCGGCACAGAGTCAGAGTCAAACCCTCTGTGCCGCCAAGGCAGGGGTCCGACCCGTCCTCAGAGGGGGGTCTGAGGCCTCAGAGAGTGTATAACCCCCTAGTGTCCCGACGTACTTTTAGCTTATCTAGATACGTGTGACACAAATGATTCGATATTTCATTTTTTAATAGAAAGAATTATCTCACAGAGAAGGGCGGGCAGCACGCCCGCCACCTGAGACAGCCAGTACTGTTGTTATAAAATGAACTCGGGGGCACGGGACGCGGCACAAACGGGGCACAAACGCCAGGCTACAAAGACGGGGAGGCACGTAGTGACGCAGGGGATTCTAGGCGACGGCGGCGTCCTCCGACGCCGCGGCGAGCCTGAGCTCGGTCGCAATCTCTTCCGCCGCCGCGAGCTGCAGCGCGACTGACATGCGCTGGGCCTGCAGCGACAGCCACGACCGCGTCGACCAGCTCGCCTCGTCCTCGTGCTGCCGCTTCGAGAGCTTGTTGCGCACGCACCTTGCAAACAAAGTGTTAGAGTTGTTTGGTATTGCTAAAAATCTCTCTCTCGCACCTTGTTTGTCCTTCATCTGGTAGAACAGCCGCTTGACCGCGTTGCACCACCCGCCGAAGGTTTCGAACAGGTACATCTGCACGTCGGTGTCCGAGCGCGAGAGGGCGTGCGCGTACTCGAGTAGTCCGCCTTCTTGTACGCCACATAGCCGCCGCCGTCGCTCGGCCTGAAGTCGCCGTCCCCGACAGCGCCGCGCTGCTCGAGGCCGAAGACGTCCGCGCTCGTGCCGGGCTCGGTGTTGCCGAGGCCGACGAAAGCGCCTCGCTGGCCGACGTCCTCCGGGTTGGAGGAGAGCGAGTCCTTGAACTTGACGTTTAAGGCCGATGGTGTAACCTTATCGCGCGCGCTCGCGACGCCGACCGACTCGGAGGCACGCCTTGGTGTCGCGAGCGGCGAGCACCGTCCGCGCGTCGTGCGTGGAGAGAAGACAGGAGGCGCCCTGCGTCGGCCGAGCGCAGCAGTTCGAGCAAGCCGTTCGCGTCGCAGCTCTCGAGGAACAGGGCGGTGAGCTCGGCCGCGCGCTGCTCGCCTAGGTGCGCGATGGCGCCGCAGAGAGTCGCGCCGATCGCCCGGCTGCGCTCCTCGGCGCTCAGCGTGCTGAGGTGCGGGTTGTGTCTGGGAGGGAGGGAGTGGGGTGCAGGTTGCTCACCCACGGCACCGGGCCGGTGCTTGCACTTTGAATGCCGTGGGGCTCCTGCCCGTGTCCCGGGCGTGGAGATGCGAGGGTCGCCCCCCCTTGCCCCACCACTTTGTGTGTGTGGAGACGTTTACCTTACCTTACCTTACCTGGTCCCTCGGGTCCCTGCTCTCGTGCAGCTAGGCGACGCAGGTCCATCAGCAGGGCTCATCCAATGCGAGCGCACATTGTGCGTAGCCGCGGGCAGGTGGCAGTGCACAGCCGCACACCGGCTGTGGCGGCTCGAATGCCCCCGGCAGCAATGCTGGTCATTAACTTGCGTATTGGGGCCGCAGCAGACTGCTGCTGTGGCAACAGCAGCAGCCTGCTGCTGCCTGATTCAGTCAAGCCAGCGGTGCAGCGAGGCGTGCAGAATTCGCGCGGTTTGGTACCTCCTGAGGCTGAGCGCGTTCAGACCCGGTGACCGGAGTTGGATGGTTCGATGGAGCTCGGCGAGCTCCATCGAACCATCCATGGCCGGACGGCGGAGCGTGAGGTGGCGAGCGGAGAGATGTACCGCAAGACGAGAAAAACACGGATCTGACGCGATGTCACTCCTCCCTCGCTCGCTCTGACCAGTTCGTAAAGCTGATCCACCCTCGCACGCGAGTTTGCAAGCGCGTTGTCGGCACCCTCCAGCGCACGCTCCCCCCAGGCGGCCGGCGCCGCCGCCGCCGGCACGGTAGACGCGCGCCGCGCCACTGGCAGCTCGAGCGCAGAGTACCTGCGCCAGCTCTCGATGAGTCAGCGCAGCAACGGGGTCTTCATCAATGACCCCAAGGGCCTCTTTATCCTCCGGTGGTACCGTGAGGTGAAGGGTGACGGGACCCCCCCAGACGGCCCGCGCTCCCAGAACAGAGCGTGCAAGAGTACTACAAAGCTGACGAGCGACAACGATGGGAGGCCTTCCGCTGGACCAGCAACTACCAGATCATATCAGCAAGGTGTACCTGAAGAAGCACTCCAGCCTGCCTGGCCTCTCTGCTATTCTCTCAGTGCGGCAGAAGATGGTGACGTCCACCATGAAAAAAGGATGGTGTCTGGGAGCTGGACCTGGAGGACCCGGAGGCAGCAGGCAGAGTAGAGACAGTAGTAGAGTCCTGCTGGTATCCTCTTGATAGTGTCATCAGTGTGGCTGGTGTGTGTCAGAGCCTGACAGCGCCCCGGACAGCACCACCTGACGCGCTGCTCCTGACAGCACCGGCCCTACGTCTGACAGCAGCAGCAGCCTGACAGCTCTGACAGCTCCGACAGCGTCTGACAGCAACACCCGACAGCTCCGACAGCACCCGACAGCACCCGACAGCACTGACAGCACCTGACAGCTGGTCTGACAGAGGCACCTGACAGTGTCTGACAGTGCCCGACAGCCCGACAGATCACCTGACAGCACCTGACAGCCTGACAGCCAGGGCTCAGACCCAGGCTACAGTGACCTCCTTTCATCTCGACTCGCGCTCGCTCTCTACTCCATGCACCATGGCGGGCGTAGCAGGCGGAGCCTCATAGCCGCCGCGCCAGGCGCTTCCCAGTGTCGGCCCGCGTGGCGAGCCATCAGGCGAGCCGCCCCGGGAGGAGGTTGGGCTGTTCGGCGTCCTCAAGCTCCAGCGCTGCTCCACATCCTGGTCCTCGTGGCCGGCCCCGTCTCCCGCGTGCGGCGGCGGCGGCGCCTCCGGCCTCATCTTTTCGAAGGTGTACAGCGCGAAGCAGACGAGGAGGCCGCTGTAGCCGAAAGCCTCGAGCCGCGTGATGGTCTCGCCAAAGACGACCGCCGAGACGAGAACCAGCCCCCCGTTGCGGGACATCGTCAGTATCTTGAGCGTCATGCCCGAGGTACGCTTCACGAGCAGAAAGCCCGAGAGGTTGATGACGAAGCCCGAGAGGCCGGCGACGCAAAACAGCACCGGGTGGCTCCCCACGATGGCGTGGGCGCTCGTCCGCCACACGTCGGGGAGCTCCGTGAAAACCGCGAGGCCCATCCACCCGAGCGTGATCGGCGAGGTGTAGTAGAGCGCCTCCATCGGCGCGAGTTTGAGGTTCTTGAGAAGCTTCTGCGCGACGACCAGCCGCACCGCGTCTGCCGTCGATGCGGCAACCATGAACGAGACTCCGACGAGGTTGAAGTTGACCTCGCCGGCCGACGCGAGCGCCGTGAAGGCGGAGAGCCCGACCGTGATGAGGACGATGCGGCGCGACGGCTGCTCGACGCCGAGGAGGGCGAGGAAGATGACCATGTACGTGGGCGAGAAGGCCTTGAGCATCTGGATGAAGGCGACGGTCAGGTAGAGGTACGGGTACTGCCCGAGGCAGAGCGCGAGGGCGGTGGTGGCGCCGAGGACGACGAGGTTGGAGACCGGCACGGGCTTGGACTGGTCGATCGGGTGCGTCTTGAAGACTCTCACGCACAGGAACGAGGCGACGCTCGTGGTGCCCATGCCGAGCGCCTGATTCATTAACTCGCAGCGGGCATTACTAGGTAGTCAAATAGGAGGCCCATGCTGAGCAGGTCGGGCGTGAGAGGGTGATGCTCTGGTTGCCCTATACTCTCTGCTACTACTACGACTGCCACCCTGTGAGCGATGATGGGACTCTCGGGTGATCTCGGATGATCTCGGGGGGGCATCTCGCCGAGACGATGATGGGGTAGTGGAACCCAAAGTCCTTCATGATGACCTTGTTAATGAGGATGGCGGCGGGCGAGGCGGTGAGGTAGAGCGCCGTGTAGAAGAGCGTGAGGAGGCTTGAACGCGATAAGAAGCGGAGGGCGCACGCGCACAGGGCGAGCACAGCGAGCGAGGCGAGCAGCATCGAGCGGATCGGCCCCACCTTGGCGACCAGGTCCGCGTACTTGTGCAGCCGCATCTTGCTCGCCGACGCCGACTCGCGGACGTGCTTCTGCTTTGCCTTGACTGCGAGGTACGCCTCGATGTCGTTCATCTGCTTGGTGTACTTTTGCATCTCGCGGTTCCACTGCTTGAACTCTGTTGCGGCGGCAACCGCCAAACTCACGTTCGTCGGCTTCCCCTTCTTCTTTCGCCTCTTCTGCTTTTTCGGAGGCGGCGCGTCAGCTGGCCGCTGGCGGCGGCTCGGCGTGTCGCTGGCCGCTGTCAGTTGCAAGCGATTGTCAGAGGCCTCTGTCAGCGCGAGTCGTTCTGAAAAGAGCGACAACAAGAGCAGCTGGCTGCAGCGGCCCATCTCCGTCTTGAACGGAGTCTTCCCGTGCACGAGCTCGCGGCGCCGTGCACAGCTGAGCTGTGAATGCAAAGAAATCTACACCGCGCTGTCAGAGCCGCTCTTCACAGCGCTTGCAGGGCGCTGCTCAGAAGCGAGCTCCTTGGTCCCGCGCAGGACGTCGAGCACCGCCATGCGGACATGGTTTCGTGCCGTTGGCATCGGCGCCACAGCTTCCTCCTCCCACTCATTCGTTGACGGGTCGTATCGCTCCATCGAGTTGACAAACTCGCCGTCGCGGCCGCCGATCACGACCAGGCGCGGACTCTCGCGCTTCTTCAGCGTCTCCTCCCAGCCGCGGCGCCACGCGCGGCACGTCCCCTTGGCGGCGTGCGCCTTGGTCGGCAGCTGGGCGAGGATGTGCGGGGCGAGGTTCGGCGAGAGGAGGACCTCGGAGAGCACCCACTCGGGCTGCTCCACGATGAGGACGACGAGGCATCGCGCCTGCTTTGGCCGCGTTGGGTAGCTGTGAAGCTCTGCCGGCAAGCAGATTTTGCACAGACAGCGTTATATCCCTGGCTGGGCGAGGGCGACGGCGTCCCCGTCGGGAGGGGCTGTCTCAGTGTTCGTGGTCTACCGTCACCCCGCCAGCGGCCCGGCGGGTTCGGTTAGCGCCTCCTCTGTCTGTCTCGGCGCCAAACCACATCCCACCGAGGCGAGCAGGTTCCACGCGTGAGCAGACCTGGCCCGGTGTTCGGAGTCTTCCCTGTGCGGGGCCTCGGCGCCCTAGTATTAGAAAACCGCGACCGGGAGTCAATGAGGGGTTGAGGTGTGAGCCCTGGAAGCTGGATGGAGGCCGTAGGTAGGGGGGTAAGTGGAGACTACCGCTTCACTTACTTAGTTGTGCCACCCCCTTCCGGTCCGTCTAGTGTTTCACAATTAATTGTACGTACGCGTAATGTACAAAAACGCCCGCCTCCGTTGGCCACTCCTACGCCTTCCAGCGAAAATCTCAGGGCCATGCGCGGTAACCGCGTTGGGGGCCTCGAGACCTCGGGGGGGGGCCGAAATCGGCGATTTCGGCCGAGGACGGGTGGGGCGGGCCATCGGTAACCGCGTTTGGCCCGTCCGGGGAATGTGCCTGTCTAAAAGCGGCTTTTCGGGCTTGAGATTCGTCGGCCGGAAAAAAAGAAAAGCGCGCCGAAAAAGCGAAAAACGCGGTGTGAGCCCGCGCGCTTCCCCTTGTGGGTCAGATGCTGCCTGCTCACGCGTGTCATCATCAAAAGTCGTTTCGTTCTCAAGTTCCGCTTTGGGGTACACACGCGCGGCGCGGTTGGATTAATCAGGGCAAGGCCCTGGCCGCCCCCAGCGCCCGGCGCCGCGTCCTCATGCCGCAAGGGGGTCTCCTCGTCAGCCCGCCAGCCGAGGGGGAGCGCCCCTCCCCCCAAAAGTACTCGCCGAAGCGTGGACGCCTCGAGGTCCGCAGGGCAAGCTCTCGCTCCCCGTGAGAGGGCCAGCTGGTGTCCCGCGGGCTACCTCTCGCACAAATGAGCCACCACGCCCTTCCTCTATAGATCCTCGTCGCCGAACGCGTCGCGCGGCACGTCACCTGCGCACGCCCGGCCGGGCTTACTGGAGGAGGCCCTGCACCTCCCGCGCAGCGGACCCATCTACAGAGCTCGGCTGGACCAGAACACCGGAATCGAGCCTTCCTTCCGCTACGACCCGAACGTGTCGACCGTGCTCGACACGGACTCCGACGGACGCGTCACGTTTTCGACCGAGTTTGAAGTCAACTCGGAGGGTGCGTGCCAGACTGAGGTGTGAGATGTACCGGCGCAAGCTCGGCTGCGAGCACGCTGGTCTTCCCTTAGGCTCGCCGCCCTTCCGCATCACGTCCGAATGGCAGGCGCCTCCGTCGCAAGCCCAGTGCTGCGTGGACGGTCTCGAGTCCCTGCACCAGGTGACGCTTCCCCGGTTCGTGTCCAAATCGCCGCCCGCTACACCGCCGCGGGCGAAAGTGCGGCCACCTGCGACCCACAGCCAACGAACGGCAAAGCCGGCTGGCGTGGCGGTAGTACCGCACTCGCTGCGAATCGCCGCCGCCGCCACCGCGCCGCCTGCGCCGGCGAGGTCCTCTGTGGAGGTGGAGTCCCTGCGGTTCGACGCAGAGCTCGCGTCTCAGCACGCACCACCAGTGACGGTGTCCCCCCCCTCCTTCGATGCGGCAAAGGCCCTCTTCGAAAGTCTTCAGCCGATGGGCGACGGCTGTGCCTCTATCGCCCCCCCGGTCCCGGTCCCAGTCCCACCGGTACGCAAGGGCAGGGCCCGCGGACTTCCCACCTCGTTGGAGCCGCGGCAAGGAGGCGGCACGCCGCGGCTGCTCGTGGCTGCCGCTTTGCTGAGCCTGTGCCTCTTCGGCGTTGCCTTTGCCCCGTGGCTGGATCAGTCTTTGGGCTGGGGGGCGTGCCTCGTCGGTCCATACGCCTGTGCTGCCGGGGTGGGGGAGCATGCTGGGCCTGCACCTAGCCCACCGTTGCGGCACGAGCTCGCCTCCCGCGAGATTATTGAGCTCGAGGGCGAGGAGCGAGCCTGGTCGTGGTGGAGCTTGCTGTGGCCGTGGCACGAGAAGGAGGCCGCGACACGCGACTCGGGCGAACCGCCCTGCTGGTGAATTGCACTGGGACTATCATGTATCCCTACAGAGAGATGTGGCTGCGTCGTGAGGGGGGCGAATGAGGGAATTGAGGGGAGGCTAAGTGCATTGTGCATGTGCGGCGGTGTCGGACCTGCGGATTGCGGCGACGCCCGGGCGCGGCAGCCAGCGGTCTGTGTGTGCGGCAAGATGGAGGTGAGAGTGACCGCGCGGGGGCGGCGGCGGCGCACGGATGGCGGCTCAGAACGCACGAGTCCGACCACGTCAGGGATGACGTCCGGTGGGCCGGTCCATGACCATGTCCACATGTCGTGCACACATACCACGTGAGTGCACGAGACTCTGCGAGGGATCAGGCTGTAGGCAGGCTGTAGACCTACATAAATAAATAAACCGAACAGGAGGATGACGAAGAGCAGCAGGGACCCGAGGCGCGAGGGACTATGTCGAAGAGGCTAGTTTGCAGTCCCACATCGGGAGAGGACGACCCCGGCCCCGTCACGCCGCGCATGCAGGTGCATAAATTAGACGCGCCAGAGAGGGCGGCTCTTTTCTTTCAACGGGGCTAGCTTTTACACATCGACGGTGTACATGCATGATATGGGTACCTAGCTCTACCTCGAGTCTCGTACTTCGTACACAAGTATTACCCCTCGAACGCCCCGATCGCCTCCGTCACCGCCGCCACGAGCCGCGACGCCTCCCCCTCGCTGCGCGGCCCGTCCCTCCTCCACCTCGCCGCGTCGTGGTGCCGCGCCGCGTTCGCCCAGATGCGCAGCGAGTGCAGCTGGCTCCGTAGCTCGGCCGGCAAGCCGCACTCGCGGTGCCAAAAGTTGATGCGCTCCTCGAAGCCGTCGGGCGCCGCCGCAGAGCGCGAGGCGTAGACGGCGTCGAGGCGCGGCATCAGCGTGTTGAAGGCGAGCAGCATGTTGCCCTGAATGCGCGCCTGCGCGTCGCCGCCCGTGCGCATGCCGCGCACCTGCACCGAGAGCGGCGAAGGCTCGTAGCTGGTGGTGCGGGCGGCTGCCGCAGCGGCCTCGTCTCCAGGTGCCGGCGCAGCCTCCTCCACCCCCACCCCGCCCTGCGCGCCAGACAGCAGCCCCCGGAGCGTCGTGAGAGCCACGGGCAGCGTGCAGCGGTTGCGCAAGCTGTCGTGACAGAGGCTCTTCTGCCCGTCTCCCGCCTTGGCGAGGTCCTTGACAGCGCGCGCAGCAGCGGCGGTCCACCCCGCCGCCGCGTCTGCGACCTTGGACGCGTCGATGTTGGTCCAGAGCTCGTCGAACTCGTCCTCGCACCGGTCGGTGAGCTGCACCTCGGAGCGGCTGGTGAGGCAGACGAGGAGGGTGATGCCAACAGCGTAGCCGTCCGTCTTGCTCGAGTACTCGCCCCCCTTGGAGATGGAGGGGCAGAGGTAGCCAGTGGACATGTAGAGGGCGGTCGAGCGGCAGCGGACAGAGGCGTCCGGACGCTGGTCCTTGGCGAAGCCCGTGTCGGCGAGGACGGCGGTCAGATTCTCGTCGAGCAGGATGTTGTCCGGCTTGACGTCGCGGTGCACGATGCCCTTCGAGTGGAGGTAGACGAGCGCCTCGGTCGCCTCGCACGCGACACGCACGCGCTGCCGCCACGTCAGCGGCCTCGGCGGCTCTACCATCCCCAGCCGCCGGAGCTGCGCAGCGCGGTCGGGATCCGAGATGCGCAGCCGCGCCTCGAGCGAGCCGCCGCGCATCAGCGGCGAGAGGAGGCAGACGCCGTCGGGCGAGAGGCAGTAGCCGAGCAGCGGCAGCAGGTGCGGGTGGCTCACCGCCTTGAGCAGCTTCACCTCGAGCTCCGCCCGCGACAACCCGCCCGACTGGCCCGACTTGGCCCGCTTGACGACGAGCGGCAAGTGGCGCAGCTGCGGAGGCGCGGCGAGGGAGAGGTGGAGGTCGGCCGACGCCTCGTAGACGCGGCTGAAACCGCCGCTGCCAATCAGCTTGCCCTCTGCAAACCCATCGGTAGCCGCGGTGAGGTCCGACAAGGCTATCTCGACGGGCCGCGCAACAGCCGCCGCTTCCGCCGCGACCGGCTCGGAGGCGACAGACAGAGTTTCCAGCTTCGACTCCGCCGCGCTCACCTCCTCGGCCAAGGCAGGCAGCGCACCCACGTGCGGCCTGGCGGCGGCGATGCCCGCTCGGAGCGCGGAGGGGCTGTCCGCAGTGTCGAGCGACTTGAGCGCGCCCATCGCCGCGCCATGCGCCTTGCGCAGCCGCTGGCTGTCCCGCCTCCGCGCCTCCTTGAGCTTGTCGCGCGCGCGCCTCGCCGCCGCCAGCACGGCCGGGCTCGCGAGGCCGCTGCACGCCTCCAGCGCGCTGGCCACGCCCTCGTACGA